TGGAGGTTTGGACTTCCTGGGCGACGAGTCTGCCAGCGCCAACCCTGCCCCGGCGGGCACCCGCACGGCGCCCCCGACTCCGCCATTGAGTGCGTCAGCCCACCCACATGACAACGCCGTTCCTTTTCAAGACGCTGATGAGCAGGACGATGACCTTTTCAGCCTCGGTGGGGGATCGGACGCTTTGGACGACGGACCAGCCAACGAAAACCCCGCCCCGTCGGGAAACCTCGCAAACCCTACTGCGACGCCGTCCCCAAGAGCGTTAACGCCCACATACGACGATATCGGTCACCGCAAAGACGCCGACCACGACTTGGGTGCCCCCCGAGGATTGAGTGGCATTGAGGACGCACCGCCGACACCACACGCTGCCGACCATGCCGCCCCACCGAGACACCAACCCTCTACGCGACCGACCTCTGCGGCCTTGCACGGCATCACGACTGGTCCCACCGCGCATACCACTCCGCCTCCCCATCGCCAGCGACCCGCGGGGGCGGCTTCAGCCCCCCCGCAGGGTACTAAACCAGACTGGCCCTCGTGCCCCACCCACGCTTCCTCCGTTGCTGAGCGAGAGGAAGCGGCTCCCCTGACCTCTCGGGGCGCGGCCCTAGCGGCTCCAGCCCTGGGGTCGCGCCGGCCCCTCCAGTCACCTTTCAAGGGTGACGGACGTCAGCGTTCAGGGTCCCGCACGCCGCTTGCCCACCTGGACAGGCGTACCGAGGACCTCGCCTCTGTCTCGAGATCCTCGGCGGATGTCACTGAGCAGCCACCTCTCACCGACCGTGAAACCGAGCTGTCACAGGCTATGGCTGCCCTTCAGCAGAGGTGCTTAGCTCTCGCCGCGGACCTCGCCGCTGCCCAAGCTCGTCAAGGTCCTCTACTCCAGCGCCTCCACAGCGCTGGGCGAGCCTTCGCCGAGCTGCTCACGACCTCGCCCGATGGTGTCGTGCCGTCACTCAACATCCAAGCTATGTTGTCATCGTTCCGCGGCGCTCCACCTGGTGCCCCGCGCTGATCTCCTCCTTTCTGCCTGCCCGTGTGTACGTGTGGCTCCGCGTCCACGGTGTCAGGGCGTGGGGGCGGGGGGTGCCCCGTCACTGCGCGCCGCTTAGCGGCCAAGCGCCCAACTGGCGGTCCGCCAAGCCGCCTAGCCACGTGCCAGCACGTCGCCTTTCTTGTTGGGGCCTTTTACCTCACGCGGTCTGTCAGGTGAGATCTTCATCGTCTGTCCGCCGTCTGTAGCGTCTGTCGCACTGCGCCGGGGGAGGGGGTTTTGTTGCCCGCCCTCGTATCTTAAGGCTGCACCGCCGCAAATAGTGCATGCGAGTTGTCGCACCGCAGTGCGCCTCGCGGACGGACCCTGGTCCGCCTACTTGTCCGATCTCTCTCTCTCTCTCTCTCTCTCTCTCTCTCTCTCTCTCTCTCTCTCTCTCTCTCTCTCTCTCTCTCTCTCTCTCTCTCTCTCTCTCTCTCTCTCTCTCTCTCTCTCTCTCTCTCTCTCTCTCTCTCTCTCTCCCCCCCCTTCCCTCTTTCTCGATCAGTTGATCTCCCTTACCTCCCGAACCCGCTCTCTGAAACACAGTTCCGTACATTCCCTCTGACCCTCCTCAAGTTTTCCATTACCGCCATCCCCCCTCTTCCTCCCCAGCTGCTCCTCCAACCCCTCCTCCTATTATTCGTCCTCCTCAGATAGTTTTTTCGCGCCTAAGTTGTTCTCTCTCTCTCTCTCTCTCTCGATCGATCGATCGCTCTCTCTCTCTCTCTCTCTCGCTTGTTCCCTCTCTCTCTCTCTCTCTCTCTCTCTCTCTCTCTCTCTCTCTCTCTCTCTCTCTCTCTCTCTCTCTCTCTCTCTCTCCGTGTGTAATTCCCCTATCCTCCCGTCGCGCCTCCATCCTCTTCTGGCTGATGCGCATGCCGCCCGTGAAGTCCTGCTTAGCCTTGAACGTGGCGTCGAACATCTCCCGCCGACGTCGGGGAGGACGACGACGGTCGACGACGATGACGGCACAATCATCACCATCACCACCACCACCACCATCATCATCATCATCATCGCCATCACCAACATCAACGTCAGCTTCATGATCATCATCAGTAACACCATAGCATCATCATCAGCATAGTCAGCACCATCACCATCATTACCGTCATCAGCGTAGCCATCATCAACACCATCATCATCAGTATCATCAGCATCATCATCACCATCACCATTATCAAAATCGTCGCACCTGCCATCAGCATCACCACCTCCATCGCCATCATAATCACCACCATCAACATCATCATGGCCACCCTCCTCCCCCCCCTCCTCCTCCTCCTCTTCCTCCTCCTCCCTCGCGTCCTCCTTCTCCCCGTCCTCCTCTGACGCTGGTCAGTCCGATGATCATCATCATCAGCATTATTGTCATCATCGTCATCGCCATCGTCATCATCATCATCATCAGCATCGCCCCCTCCCCCTGACCATATACTGCTCTGGGGTCGGGCGGCTGCCGCTCTTCGGCGGCGAGTGCGCGCTCCAGTTCGGGATCCCTTTGAAACCTGGGCTCGAGCGGCCCCCGATTGATCGCCCCTGCCTGGATCGATCTTTCCGTCATATCGCCCCCCCCCCTCGATCCTCGAGCGGGTGGGTCGATCGATCCTCGAGCGGGCGGATCGATCGATCTTCGACCCCTTCGATCCTCGATCCTCGATCGAGGATCGACTGGGTCGAAGATCCAAGGGCCGAGGGATCGCGGAGGACCGATGAGAATAACGACCCTCGAATGGGGTGGCGGGGAGGGAGGGGGGGGGTGGGGGCGATGAAGTTAGATCGATCCAGGCAGGGGCGATCGATCGATGCACCGCGGCGCCTGGCAGCTTCGGCACGTCTGGGTCGTCGTCCTGCACTGCCAGGGCCTCGCGCGGGGGGGGGGCGGGGGAACCCGACCTTAGCTCTTCCAACCCGCTCGATCTCGGGAATATGGGTGGGTGGGATCCCATGGACTAGTGCATCCTTTTCTGGATCGGGATCGTTTCTGGATGGGCTGGTGGGCTGGATGGTTTCTGGATGGGCTGGTGGAATTTGCCCGTCCGCGCCTGGGCGCACTTCGCAATATCGATCTCTGCCGTGGGGCCGCGCCGCAGGCGGCTCTCCATGGCGCTACAGGCGGGGAGAGGGTGGGAGGACCCGAGGCCGGGCTATAGACCACGACGGGTGGGAGGAGGGCGGCGAGGAGAAGGAGGAGGAGGAGGAGAGAAAGGAGGAACGCGAGGAATAGGAAGACGATGAGGACGAGGAGGACCGAGAAAAGGGGAACGCATTCGCGATGCATCCCCCCGAGGAGGAGGAGGAGGAGGAGGAGGAGGTGGAGGAGGCGGAGGAGGAGGAGGAGGAGGAGGAGGAGGAACCTCCCCTCATCCGCCCGCCTGCGTCGCGCGCCTGGCGCGCGCGGGCTGGCACCCTCGAGCCGCGCGCTGCGCGCGGCGAGTCGCGGGCCCCGGATCCTGCGTCATTTTTCGACCCAGATCGATATTTTTGAGGGTCCCTGAGCCCGCGGCGAATCACGGTTGGAGTCCTGGATCCTGCGTCATTTTTTGACCCAGATCGATACATCTGAGGGTCCCTGGGCCCTGTGGAAATGGCTGCTCCGCAACCTGGCCCTGCCCTCTCCAGTACTGGGCGCACACACACACACATATATATATATATATGTATACACATGCATATACATACATACATTCATACATACATACATACATACATACATGCACAATGATTGGCGACGTTCTTGCATACACGCGCGCGAACCTAATTTGTGTGTACATAATTAGGTATAGCTAAATGGGTGTGTCGCACATATGCATGTCTGTACTGTTTTTGGTGTCTGTCAGGGAACATCAGGAAATTGAGCCATCCTGACAAAAATTACAACATCCTGACAAAATTGCAACATCCTGACGAACATTGCAACATCCTGACAAACAAATGCAACATCCTGACACAAATTGCAACACTGGGAACTGCGATCCAGAAATTGCAACATAACCCAAAAATCACTTCAAAACGGCCGTTGCAATTAAATTGCATCGGCAAGATGTGAGGGTCTGGGCTGTCCCGGACGCCTCGCCGCCAGGCGCACCCGGGGCCTCCAGGAGCCACCGGATGCCGCCTACACCTCCCCACGCGGGGCCACCCGAGCGCACCCCGGGCCACCCGGCCCCCAGCGCGGCGCCCGGGGGGCGAGCGGAGCGACCCCCGGGCGCCGCGCCGGGTGGCCGGGGGCGCCGGCCAGCGGCGCGCCGGAATTAAAGTCAAGACGGCATCGTCTTGACTTTATTCTGGGCCCCGGCCGGGAGCGTCCGGGGGCGGGCGGCCAGCGCCTCCTCGCCCGGCCAGCCGCCCCCGCGGCTCTCCCGGCCTGGCCCCCGGGGCGGCGTCCCGGGGGGCAGCGGCGCCCAGAGTCAAGACGGCATCGTCTTGACTTTAATTCTGGGCCCCCGGCCGGGAGCGTCCGGGGGGCGGGCGGCCTCTCGGGAAGCGCCTCCTCGCCCGGCCCGCCGGCCCCGCGGCCCTCCCGGCCCGGCCCCCCGGGCGGCGTCCTGGGGGGCCGGCGGCGCCCCGGAATTAAAGTCAAGACGGCATCGTCTTGACTTTAATTCTGGGCCCCGGCCGGGAGCGTCCGGTGGGCGGGCGGCCTCTCGGGGAGCGCCTCCTCGCCCGGCCCGCCGGCCCCACGGCCCTCCCGGCCCGGCCCCCCGGGCGGCGTCCAGGGGGGCCGGCGGCGCCCCGGAATCAAAGTCAAGACGGCATCGTCTTGACTTTAATTCTGGGCCCTGGCCAGGAGCGCCCCGGGGCAGGCGGCCCCCCCGGGGGGCGCCTCCTCGCCCGGCCCGTCGGCCCCGCGGCCACTCCGGCATCAGCCCCCCGAGCCCCGGGCGTCGTTCCGGGGGGCCGGCGTCGCCCCTGGCTGCGCCGCGCGCGCGGGTCGAGGGGCGCCCCGGCGCGGCTGCTACCCGAGGTGCACGACGAGGGTGGGAGCGGGGGTGTTCTTGTCGTAGAGGAGCTTCTTGCGCTGTGGCACGTTGAGGTGCGCCGCCATGCGCTGGCCAGTCTTGCACCCGAAAGACTGGGTGTGCACGTCTGTGATGCTATCGATGATCGCCCTCGCATCGTCCACGTCTACTCCGGGCTTGATGTGCCTGCCGAGGTCTGCCTGCAGGCTGGCCGCGAAGGCTGCCCAACTGTCAATGCCGAACACTTTTTCGAACAGTCGGCTCTTCGATGAGGTTGAACCCGGGGTAGTGATGGTAATGTCCTGTGGCTCGAATTCGATCCGACCGCTGCTCATTTTCTCCACGATCGGTAGGTACGCGCCCCCCACTCCTGCGTGGTTGTTGACCAGCGCGCCCAGCCCTAGCAACGCTAGGAAATCGCCCCCGTATCTGACGCACGTGCTGCCGACCTCTGGCTTGATGAGGAGACACTGTTGCGCGATCTCCATGACTTTGACGGAGTTGAACGTAGAGGTCTGGTACGTCTTCCCCTTGGCCTTAATTGCGGGCTACACCGTTCTGCCCGAGCAGCCCTGTGCGCGGGGGGTTTCGTACACAATTCCAAGACCGTCCCCGTGCCGTAGTTGCCGCGCAGAGCTTGTTCCGTGGAGGTTGCAACGGAACTCCTAGACTGCTGCTGCCATTCTGACCTCCGGGCCCTCGTCCGCCCATCGGGTGACCAGGAGCTCCTCTGTGGCCGCTGCGCTGCCTCTGGCCACTTCCCTCAGCAAGTTGAACCTGCCGTGCCGTCTGTTCGTGACCCCCCCAGTGCTCACCGTGGTAGCTGTAATGACGGGCATCCTGGTGGCAAGGGATAGGTTCAGCTGCTCGAACGTGCCCCGTGGGCGCCCAGCCTGCCGCGTCGGTGCCGCGCTGGCCGCGGGGGCTGCCTCCGCGCCCCTCGCCAATGGCAGTGGGGGTCCCGCGGGCTTGGCCGGGGGGGTCGCTACCGCGCGGGCTGGCAGCGCCAGCGGCGCGAGGACTGCCGCTGGCCCCCCGGAGGTCTTCGCCCACTTTCTGGCTGGCCCCGGGCTCTTGGTCTGCATGCGCTTGGCGATGGTGCTGATGCCCTTCTTCTTTCTGCTGGTCGCTGCAGCCGCCCTCTTGGGTAGCGCCTTGAGCGCCCGGCGGCTCGGCGCCCGCCGAGGAGCCGCAGCCCGCCGGGCCGCCATGGCGGGAGGGGGGAAGAGGGGAGACACGAGGGGCCGCAAGGGGCGAAGGGCCGGAGGGAGCGGCGCCCGCCCGGGCAAGGGGACCCCTTGACCTCCCCCTCCTGCTTGAGCCAAAATGGCTTGAGCCAAAGGAGCTCCCCCTCTTCGTCCTCCTGCTCCTCCTCTTCCTTTCTCTACATTATCCTTACATCCTCTCTTCTTCCGAGTCCTCCTCGTCCCCTGTTTACTCCTCCTGCCCCCCTCCTTCCCCAAGATACCGGCAACGCAATCCTTTTTTCCTTTTCATGCTCCCTGACTTCTCTGATCAAGGCAATTCGCCAGGGCAAAGTTGCTGGACAGGCTGGCGTGGATGCGCGGGGCTTGAAGAAAAGTCGTTGCGGGCTCAGACGGCATGCAAAAATCCGCCGCCGCGCTTGTGCGGCATTGGTTTGTTCAGTGAACGTGGTTTGGGTCGCGGGTGGGTCGCGGGCTCTCCACCTCCACCTGGAACTAACGCAAAAAGTGATCATTTGTTTTTTGGCCCCCCCTCTGTCACAGAGGGGGTCTAAGATGCCCCCCCTCTGTCACAGAGGGGGTCTAAGACGCCCCCCCCCTCTGTCACGGAGGACCTCGTTCTGGGTGCTCTTCTGCCACGGGAGCTCCCGATACGATTGGAGACGATAAAATGTGATGGCGGGATGGGGGATTGGAGGGGGAGGGAGAAGAAAACGATGAAGGAGAGGAGGCAACGACAGCACCGATGAAGGCGCCGTTTCTTTTTCCTTCTCCGCTCGGGCAGCGGTCGCCGAGCACGACGGCGCGCGCGAGTCGCCGCCGCTCACGATGCATTGGCAAGGCCTTCGCTGCTGCGGAGGGTCGACGTTCGGCCGATGAGGCCTCCCTCCGCTGCTGCGGAGGGGCGGCTCCTGTGCGATGGTTCAGCTAAGTTCTTCCCAGAGATTGGTCTCGGGGGGGTGTTCGACCCGCCGCCAATTCGTGGCCTCCCAGTGCCCCTGGCCGCTACTCCACCCACTGTGGCTGCTCCACCAGTCACTGGGGCGTTGGTCGCTGCCGAATGCAACTTGCATGTCGCGCCAGGCGGAGTCGACCCTGCGGTCCTGCAGCGAGGAAGCCTCGCCGCTCGGCTGTTGCCACTCGCGCTCCTCGCCCTTCCTGGTGCGCCACCTCTCATCCCGGCGCCACTCCCCGTCTGTTGGTTGCTGCCATGGCGTCTGTGGCCTCCGCTGCTGCGGGGGCTCTGGCGGCTCGTGGCCGAGGGCAGCGATCGCGTCCGAGATGTAGCTGGCGGCGCCGCGCTGCCCTCGCTGCTCCAGCGGCGCAGGCCCTGGAGATGGGCACTGCGGGGTCGGCTGCCACCTTGGGGGTGATAAGTAATTATTTCTATAATTATCCCCTCCCTGTCAACTCCCGCCCCGTCCCGACACTCATTTCCTTATGTCATCCTTCGTCCTGCTCAGCCTATTCCTCATTCCCTCTCCCCCCTCCTGCCCTCCCCGTGCTCCACCCTCCCTTTCCCTCCCTCCCCCTTTCAACCCCCCGCCGCGACCTTCCATCGCCAGCCGCGGGCCAGTCGCGGCCGTCGTCCGCGTTTTCGTCTGCCCATCTTGGTGGGCGCCACGCCTGTTGGGCGCGCTCGTCTTGCTCGTCCCTCTCGCGGTGCTGCTCTGGTGCCTGGCGCTCGGGTCCGTGCTGCTCGGGCGCCGCTGCTGCGGCGCCCTGGAGCGCAGCTGCTTGCTGTTTCTGGGCGCGCCTGTCCTTCTTCTCTTTGGCTCTCTCCTGCTTCCTCCCCTGCGAACGCACGCTGGCCATGCGCATTTGGAACAGGAGAGGGTAGTGGGCGCCGCCGTGCCAGCGCCCCTCCACCTCCACGGTCTCCGGCGGGAACGTCTTCTGCAACGCACGGAAGAGGGTCACCTCGCGATTACTAAAGAAGCGGTGGCCCCCTCTAGCCTCAGCCTCGGCGCGCCTCAGTTTCTCACGCTCCTTCTCTTGGATATTGCGTTGGCATTCCTCTGACTGGGTCAGTAAATCCTGGAGGTGCTCGCGGGCGTCTTTTTTCGGGTAGTAGCGATCGTAAGGCATCCCAGGGCCTCCGTTCTGGCTGTGGTGCCAGTACGTCGGCTCCGATGATGGGCTGGTGGAGGCCCCCGCTGCTGCGGGGGCCTCTGCCTTGCTTCTGTTACGGTACCCGATCTCACCGATCACCGACTTGCGTGCGAAGAGCAACCCCGTTTCGTCTCTGTCGTGCACGGCGCCCAGCGGCCAGCACAGGGTGTACTCGCCAGGCCTGTTGAGAACGAAGATGCCGCAACTGTCCAAGCACGGAGTGCCGTCCAATCCGCGCCAGAAGTACGCTGCTGCCGTCTCCAATCGCATGCCTAGACCCCGAAGACTCGGCAGCGTCTGTGTGAGCGCCATGTTGAAATCCCCACAAAGGATGTTAACGTTGTTGTCCTGCAAGATGGTCGCCAGCCTCCGCCACCACGTCTTGTGAGCCTCGTTAAAGCCTTTGGAATTTTTCGCCGTGTCGCGGTGGAGGTGCACCGCGCACACCCGCACTTTCGAGCCGAAGTGGGCGTAGGTTTGATCGAAGTAGACCTCAACCACCATGATCCTCGAGAACGCTTCCATCTTGCGCCCTTTTGCTGTTTTGTAGTGGCCGTCGACACTCCTTTCCCAGTGGAGCAGCCGCATTGCGTAACACAGATTTGCGCGCGCAGCGATGCACAAGGACTTGTCCTCACGCCCGCGCAGGGTCAAGTATTCGTACTCTGGTCGATTCTGGAGCTGTTGGCAATCGCCAGCACTCGCAGCACGACTTCCTCTTGCTGTCGCCATCGCTGCTGCGGGGGCGACAAGAGGCCCACCGCTGCTGCTGCTTTGGCCCTCCGCTGCTGACGCCCCCGCTGCTGCGGGGGCGTCCGCCTGCAGCGGCGGTGGTTTCCCTGGCCGCTGTAGGATTGACTCCATCTGCTCCTCACATTCCGCAAAGCGCGCCACGAGAGCAGGGCAATGCCGCAGCTGCAACTCAAGTCTCCGCCGCTGGTCCGCGTGGTTGGTCTCGCTCGGCATGGGGCCCCAGTTCCCGAACAGGACGGAAAGGTTGCCCACGTTGTCGTTCCGTGGCCTGTTCACGTCAGCCGCTCTTCTTTCGCAGAAGAACTCGCGCGGGACGGTGTCGCGAAGAACGCAGTTGCGCCGCTCGACGTCGTCGGGCGGCGCGCAGCCCCCAAATTCCTGAGGCTCTTCGTCATCGCTCGGATCCACCACCGAGTCGCCTGGGCGGGTGCGCATCGTAGAAACTTCTGATCGCGCCGCCGCTGCTGAGCTTGAAACGCCAGGCGGCGCAGCCCCCGCTGCTGCGGGGGCGCCCTCTGGCACAAGGGCCCAAGGACCCTTCCAGGGTTCTGCCTGACCACCCACAGGTCGCCAAACCTTCCCAGATTTCGCTGTAAACACTGCCGACAGTCGGCCCCGAAGCCCCGCTGCTGCGGGGACCAATGCGCTGCTGCTGCTGCTGCTGCCGGCCGCGGCCATCGCTCCCTGCCCCCGCGTTGCAGGGGGGCGGCCGTCAGAGCCGAACTCCTGGGGCCGAAACGGCGGTGGAAGGAGGGGGACGGGGCGAAGAGGAGGAAGACGGGGCGGATAGGGAAGGAAAGGGCGGGCAGAGAGAGAGAGAGAGAGAGAGAGAGGGAGAGACAGGGAGATAGTGAGAGAGGGATAGAGAGAGAGAGAGAGAGAGAGAGAGAGAGAGAGAGAGAGAGAGAGAGAGAGAGACGGACGACGATAACGAGAGAGAGAGAGGGATAGAGAGAGGAATGATATAATGACCAGGAGAGATCAGGGAGAAGGAGGGGGGAGAGCAGGAGGAGGGGCGGAGTGATCGACACCCGCGTGGTTTTCTCCCCCTGCCTGCTCTCCCCCTCCTCTCCCGTCCTCCCCCGTCCTCCCTCCTCCCTGTTTCTTCTGCACAGGGCCTGCGCTACGTCCGCGCGCGCACGCGGCACCTCAGTCGCAGCCAGGTGGAGGAGCAGTGGCTGCTGCCCGAACTCGCACCCCGCGCCTCGCCGCTGCCGCGGCGGGCCGCGCCTCTCAGAGGCCCCCAGCTGCAGGGAGCGCAAGCGCCAGGGAGCCAGACAGACGGCGTCGCGTCTCACTGTGCACAAACATGCTGAAGGCTCTCGGGTTGCCTCCCAAGTACTCGTCTATGACGTTCTGCAACCATGTGGCAAACGTCTCCGGCCACTTTCCACCGAAGTCCTCCATGCCAGCGGCGTCCCATTCCCGCCGAAACCACTCAAAATCTGACCGCTGAGCTGCAGAAAGCCCAGAACCCAAAATCGCAAGGCGATTCAGCGCGTCGCACCTCGACGTTCGACCCGCCGCGCCTCCGCAGCTGCGAAGGCCCGCGCCCAGCTCGGATAACCCGACATGCTTCATCCTGTGTTTGATATATATGGCTGCCTCTGCGTCTAAGAGTTTGGCTTGCTGTGTCCTCAGCAGCGTGCGCGCTTTCTTTACGTCGCCCCCCAGGCGGGTTAGCTCTTCTCTGCGCCGCGCCTCGACATCCCGCTGTCGCTTCTCGTTTCTGAGCGTCGCCTCGCGTGTGTCCTCGCATGCTGCGAGGGCCCGCTGAACCCCGGGATCTTCCTTCGACACTTCACGCACTCGCCTCCGTTCTTTCCGTAATTGCGTCTCCATGAACGTGGCCCCCGCGATGTCGCCCCAGCTGCGCAACTCCTCAGCGATCGACGAATACGTTCTCATCAATTCAGACGTCTGCTCCGCAGTTTCCATACGAGACGTCGACAGGCCAGGCGGTGCCTCCAGCGCGCTCTCCCCCGCCGCTGCTGCGGTGAGACTTTGATTGGCCCATTCGTAGTCAAACTCGCCAGCGGCGCTCCACCCGTCGTCGTCCTCGCTCCCATCATCTTCATCTCCTT